CATGCCTTTTTGAGCTGCAAGAGCAACGATTACCTGATTGTGTCCCACCTAGCTACCGGAGCAAATACTTTTGTGTAGTCTATCCAGAACTTTTGAGCGTACGCCTTCGCAACAAAACGAGCTTTGCACTTATTCACTTCTCCTTTTTCATTGAATTTTGTTTTTAATAGCCATTTCATACCTATGGCTTTAGCCTTCTCAGGCGGATCACACAATTACCATGTATTATTTTTGTTGATAGACTCGATTTCCATATGTAGATGGATCATTGTGGGACGTAAACATCGCAAAGTTATTACCTTCATCTTTTGCATCTAATAAGCCTTCTCCAGAAACATAATCTCCCATCCACACCGGATGTTTTCGAGTCCTATTGTCCTTTTGAACTTGAGGCTTTTCTGTAACATGTTCATTTGTGTAATTTGAATCTTGAGTTCCACTTTGTACCACTTCGTTGGAATTATTATTTTCATCTTTCTCCTTACTCTCTTCTTGATCATCATCTGTATCGTGGCCATACACCAATGTTTCCTTTTTGAATTGTAGTCCCCAGTCCCATTCAACATCTTCTTCGAAAACAACATCTTTACTTACAATAATATTATTTTCCAACGAATCATACAACCTATAGGATTTAGACTCTTCGCTTATTCCAAACATAACACACTTGATTCTTTGTTGGTCCAATTTGTTTCTTTTTTCTTACGGTATATGAGCATGAGCAATGCAACCAAAGATTTAAAAAAACTTACAGTTGGTTCCTGATTGCTCCAATCTTCTTCTGGGGTTCTTCTTTGTAGTGTAGCAGTAGGACTTCGGTTCAAAATATACATTATCCATGTAGCTGCTCCTGACCAAAACTTATGTGGGACATTTTTATCGAGTAACAAACATCGTACCATATTAAGAATCATTCTACTCTTTCTTTTGACAACGCCATTTTGGTGAGGCATAAAAGATGTCGTAAGTTGTCTCTGAGTTCCTTGTTTATCACAATACTGCTTGAACTCCTTTGAGTTGTACTCCCCACCCCTATCTATCCTCAAGTATTGCAACCATAAATATGTTTCTCTTTCAACCAAAACTTTGAATTTTATGAATGTCTAAAAAGTTTGTGACTTCTCGGCTAGGAAATAGACCCAACTCTTCCTGGAGGAGTCATCTGTAAAGGTTATGATGTACCTTTTGTGACTGCTGGATTTTGGAGATATTGGACCACAAAGATCTGAATGAACATTTGAAGTTTTTGGTTTGCCTTCCATGAGCTTTTCTTATGAAAGTTATCTCTATGGTGTTTTCCTGTGATACATTATTTACACAACTTCTTTGGTGTTTTCATTTCAGGTAATCCTAACACCATTTTCTCATGATTTAACGTCCTTAATCCCATGTAGTTCAGATGACCGAACCAATAGTGTCATAAGCGCGTGTTGTCTTCAGAGACTGTGTTAAAGCATGCAGGCTCATTAGATATTGGGTTGGCTATTATCATAAACACTCGGTTTGTCGATATGAGTGACTTGATGATCAATCCCTTGATTGCATGATAAATGTTGCACTCCCCATCTCGTATCAATGTTTTAGCTCCCTTCTCCTGAACTTGACTAAGATTGATCAAATTGTTCCTCAATTCAGGCACCAAGTACACATTAGCGATGACATGTATCACACCATTAATAGAGAAACAAACATTTCCTATCCCCATGACTGCATTTTTGCATTGGTGTCGAGCTTAAAACTATGTCTAAAACTTTTATCCAGACCATAGAACCATTGTGTGTCACCACACATGTGGTTTCTGCAGCCTGAGTCTAAGAACCATGCTTCTTCTATTATAGTTTTTCACATTTTCAACTTGTGCCATCAATATCGCTTCCTCCACGTTCTCAACATAGTTTACATCTTTTTCCTAGTCCGGACATTCAAACTGGAAATGTCCCAACTTATGACACTTATAACATTCGATTAGATTTTTGTTGACGGAAGTTCTGCCTCGCCCTCTTCCACGTCCTTTAACGTTGCCCCTTCCACGTCCTTTAACGTCGCCCCTTTCACGATCTATAATACTTGACTCATCAATCTTTAACGCTTGTTCTTCCTCTTGTTGGCTAAACATTATTTGTTCATGTATGGGTAAGCTCCCATATAGCTCATCACTTGTCATCATCTCCAGGTTCTTTGGTTCCTCAATTGAACACACGACGTAATTGAATTTTTGTGTTAATGATAAAAAGAATTTTGGAGATAACAGTGTGTTGCGGCATATTCTACCCATTCGCCTTCATCTTGTTGACGATGATCAACATTCTTGCTACATAAGAGTCCACCTTCTCCCCTTCCTTCATCAGCAACATCTCGTATTCCATCCTCAAAACCTACAGTTGTGCTTTTTTAACCTTAGTTGATCCCTCGTATTTCTGCTTCATAGAGTCCTAGATTCCTTTTGGCAGTGCTCTTGTCAAGAATGGTGTCCGATATTTCCCTATCAATGACCTAGAACAGGTAATTCTTGACTCTCAAATATTTCATCTTAGAATCATCAATGGCTTTCTTCTGCTCTTCAGTTACAGTCGTTAATCCAGCTTCCGTTGTTGGAATTCCTTCCTCAATCTGGTTCTACATCTTTTTGCTCACCAAGAAGTTTTCCATTAGCATCGACTAATGGTCGAAATGAGCATCGAACTTCGGAATTGAAGGATGCATAAATTTCTCAAAGGAAGATATTGATGTTGCTATTTCACTCACTCTATGGTCGGGGGTACTGATGGGAGCTAGATATTGTATCTCTACAACACTAAATGGTTACACATGCAAGTATACATATGTCAACACTATCGCCTTCAAGTAATAAAATGGTAAGTACCAAATATCATATTCCATAGTGATATGTATCTTAAGTTGCAAGATCTCGAGTTGAAGGACTAACTTTAGATGGCGAATTTGAAGATTTTGTTTGGATTTGAGTTAACAATACTGAAAATGATAGAAAGTAAGAGAAAGCCAAGGTGTAAGACTTAGGGTGATGTAAATACAATTTTCAGTAGACCAATGTTGTCAAAATGTTACGGCATAAACTAATGATGTCAAAATGCTACAACATGCAATTAATAACTATTTTCACCATTTATTTTAAGGGTATTTCTCTCAGACTTCACTATTGCACTGATATTATAGCTTTCAGCTTATATCTCTCTGTGGTATCTGGATAGTGAAAAATGATGTTCTCAAAATATACGGATAAACAAATTCTTTGTTAAAAATCACTCTTTCGAGCGAATTCCCATATCATTCAAGTTGAGGTGTTTCAAATGGCTCATCTCTGAGTCCGTTCCACCTGATCACCCTATCGAGAATTAATTAATTTAGAAAATACGGATAAAAAATCTCTTTGTCAGTAACTCTCTCAAATCTATTTCTCATATCATCTAAATTGGCGTACAATCAATGGCTCAGCTTAGAGTCCAAGACACTTTAACACTTCAAAATAATCAACTCGTTGAGAAGTGTCATTGGTTTTTATAAAACTTAAAATAAAACAATGAAACATTGTTGTAACATAAAATGGCCTACTTTTTTTTGATTTACAAACTCACCATTTCCGTCTTTACACCCGAGCAAAAAAATTTAGCTACTCATAACGGAAAACAATTTGCAAGAAATATATTTTACGGTAAATAAAGACATAAAATTTAATAATGGAAAGTAAAGTGCGGAATGTAAAGACGGAAAGATAAAGGAAAGTAAATTGCAAGAAAAGAAAGACAATTAAAAGCAAAATTGGAATAGAGAATTCAACTAAAGATTACTTGAATTATTAGAGAAAAACTTGTTTAATAGAAAAGTGATATCTAAAACACTAATCCAACCCTTGTATTTATACTAAATTAGAGGTGAGAGTATAAAAGTAATTTAACACAAACTTGGAGCCAAAGTTTGCAAAAGTACAACTTAGTCAAAAATTTGAAGACTTTTAATGTACTATGCTTCACATCTAAGTTCGAGCCATTTAAATTAAATATCAAAAAACAAAAAAGTCTTCAAAAGTCAACCAAGTCTTATCAACTAGCCCCTAGCTACTCTATCTTCAAGGCTCCATCTTCCGGTTCATGCTATAGCAATAAAGCAACATGAAATACAAACTTCAATTCTGGCAAAAAAAATCCATATTAGCCTATTATAGAGTGAAAAACAGGTAAATCACTTATTCTAGATCTATAAACAAAGAAGTGAAAAATGAGGAAATAAAATGACTCAATGTTGAGATATAAATGAAAAACCATCTAAAGGAGAAGGAAAGAGTGTTTAAGCACTAAATAATTAGTACGTATCAGGTATTCACACTGATCCTTCTCGTATGGCTCTAATACCAAATATTGAGTATCTCTCTTATACGAAAGCAATTGAAGCCAAACTCCAAAAGATAATTCATTATGAACAACCAAATGGACTTTAAATGCAAGATACATTACAGATAGAAAAATAACTACCGCTCCTAAGAGAACAAGATAAAAACGAGACCGAATAAAAAACAACTAATATCCCTAAACAAATGGGATTTCGCTCCAAATCCTAGCTGACCAAGTCCAAGGAAAACATGTATAATTAGACACAACTTGTTTTAAATCATATATACTGCTGCCCAGAGTGGGGACGTAAAAAGGGGATCCTATCAACTTGTTCCTACCTGAGATAATAAGCTCATGAGCTTGGTCTTACTTCATTATCGAGAAACGAAAGAAGACTTCCATCTCCATGTTTAACTCATACGTAGCTCCCTTCTTTTACCAGTGCCTTTTAAGACACAAAGGTGCTGAATTTAAACATTTCCATGTACAAATTCAATGTACAAAGATCCAGTGTGAAGTTGGTTTGGTTGGATGATACATTAATCATACATCTTTATATATAGAAAACAACAATCCCACATGAATAAGAAAACGAAAAGGAAAATACCCTAAAAATCATGATCAGAAAAAGCCAAAGGAAAATGGACAACACTTATCGGACCACCACTTCAACTACATAAACGTGTCTCTCTTTGGAAGCAAAGAGGATATCGCAAATCCTTATCTTCCATGGCAATCACCATAAGCTTCCTTCTTGGAATTATTGGTACCTCGATCTACTCCAACTTTCATTTAATTTCAGTTTCTATTTTCATTCAAGTATTTTGTGATTGATTCTTGTAATGGGTTGCTTTTTGTTGCAGGTAATCTGATCTCCATTCTTATGTTTGCTTCACCAATGTAAGTGTATATATATATATATATATATATATATATATGTATGTATGTATGTGTGTGTATATGTCGTTTTTTAGACATATCGGGTTTTTTTTTGCTAATCTATGTCGAATGTATGTGAACTGGACTTAGAGGGACGTTTAAGCGTGTCATCAAGATCAAATCGACTGAAGATTACAAAGGAATTCCATATATAACGACGTTATTGAGCACAAGTTTATGGACGTTTTATGGGCTAATGAAGCCGGGAGGACTACTTGTAGTGACCGTGAATGCCATTGGATCGGGCCTTCAACTCATTTACGTTGTTCTTTTTCTCACGTATGCTCCTAAACGCAAAAGGGTGGGTAAATTATGTTTTCACCAAGAAACTCGTTCTTCAGAAGTGTTTATTTTTGTTGTTGTTATGATAATTCGGGATTATTTGACATTTTAGATGCAATCGTTGAAGTTGGTGGCGGTATTAAATATCGGTTTCTTTGGGGGTGTCGTTGCGGTGACGCTAGGAGCTTTTCACGGTAACGAACGGCTTTTGATATCGGGCATCATATGTGCCGGTTTAACCATCGGCATGTATGCTTCACCTCTATCGGCCATGGTATGTAAACTAGCTTCGTTTTTACTTGTTTTATTAGTTTGAAACAAAATTACAAATATTTGTACAATATCTATACTATATTATAAAGAATTTGACAAAAACTCTTAAAAACCATTTTTTATGCATGAAGTACTGTGTATTAATGCATACTAGAAGGGTACTCGCACAATGCAGCGAAATACATCTTGATTTTAATATTTTATTTTATTTTTTTTACTCAGTCGATGTTATAATATGGTCTTATGTAATTTTGAAAATGCGATAATGTTTTTATTTTTTTAATAAAATATATAATTAAAAGATATCATAAAATTTTGACAAAAATATATCGATATTAGTATCAATTTAACTATTTAAAATTCCTATTTTTTGTGTAATTTTTAATTCAATTTTTTTATTATAATTTAATTTAGATTCAATAACGAAGTAATTTATATTTGGTTTAATAATAAAATTTTTTTATAAAGATAATAATTAGTTATTTTGTTAGAACTCGATAATTATTCTAATTATATTTTTGATTTTTTATATTTTAAAATGAGATGTTTATCCTCTATTTGATTATGTTTATCCTCAGTTACTTACACGAATTCAAACATGAAGCTTTAATAAGTTGTACTTGTGCATAATTTACTTGTAATCTTGAATTTTAAGTAATATGCATCAATATACGGTACTTCATGCATAAAAAATGGTTTTTTAAGAGTTTTTGCCAGATGCTTTATAATATAGTATATATATTACTTAAAATCTAAGATTACAAGTAAATTGTACGTAAGTACAACTTATTAAAGCTTCATTTTTGAATTCGTATAACTAACTGTAGATAAACATAATCAAATACAGGATAAAATCTCATTTTAAATATAAAACATCTAAAATATGATTAGGATAATCATTGAGTTTTAACAAAATACTTAATCATTATTTTTATAAAAAATTATATTATTAAATCAAAAATGAATTATTTCGTTACTAAATTTAAATTAAATTTTAATAAAAAAATTGAATTAAAGAAATTACAAAAAAACAAAACTTTTAAATAGTTAATTTGATACTAATATTGATATATTTATTTTCAAAATTTTATGATATCTTCAAATTTATATTTTATTCAAAAACAAAAACATTATCCCTTTCTCAAAACCACATAAAATTGTATTAAAACATCTACAGAGACGGAATAAAACGAAACACTAATATCGAGATTTATTTTGCTGCATTGCGCAAGCACCCTTTTAGTTATAATAAATAACTGAATGAAACAAAATATACCAAAAAATAGTTTTGTAATTTCTAATTTTACATTCATGTCAATATAATGATTCTTCAAATTAGCAAAACATATTAAAAAAAACCACTTGTAAATCTATTTGTTTAAACATGAATTTTGAAAAAAATAAATTATGATAAATTATTTTTATTTTACAATAAAATTTTATATTTAGGTACACGAGTCACAACTAGTAACGGTAAAGAACTCTAATTTAAGAGCAAGTACTATGGTAAATTAACTTTTTAAATATATATGGATCATATCGTTCATGTGACAGAGGACTGTCATAAAGACAGAAAGCGTCGAATATATGCCATTCTTCCTCTCATTCTTTCAATTTCTCAATGGTGGTGTATGGGCTGCTTATTCTTTGCTCGTAAAAGATATTTTTATTGGAGTAAGTTTTCTACTTTCATCACTTGTATCATCTTTAATAACGATAGCTGAAAGTACTGAAATAATTAAACTCTCGGTACATATTCTTCTTAATTAAGGTACCTAACGGGATTGGATTTGTGCTCGGATCATTCCAACTAATCCTCTATGCAAGGTACAAAAACAAGTCATCATCGCAAAATTCAAAAGAGGAGATGGAGGAAGAGGGCTCGGTACACCTCTTCAAAAGCAAAGTCGAAATGCAAGACGTGGAACCTGGACCTGATGAGCAAACCCGAACTCTTGGAAAAGTTCGAAGCCTCCCAAATCCATCTCGACAACATAGCTTTCAAAGGCTTGCGAAGATAAATTCCTTAAGCCCGAATAAACTCCGTACAAGTTTGTCAAGTGAAAGCGATGTAATCAAGAATTAGCCACACAAGCCACATCTAACACAAAAGTTGGTCATGTGCAAGCGTATCAATAAATTATTAGTTCGGTTATTACAAAATCATATACGCAATTTAATATCATATATACTGAACTAATTTGATTTGGTTAGTTTTGGTATGATTTAATTAGGTCGTTTATTATCGTATAAATGCATCTTATATGCAATAAAACATTTCATATAATATTTTTAACATAGAAAATTAGGGGGGTTTACGGAGTGGTTTAGAGTCAAACAACATACCGCACGACACATGCCTCAAACTGTAACAAAACTCCACCGCCAGATGCAGTGCGGTTTGTACCTAACGCATTTCAGTCCAATAATTATAAAAATCATAACATCAAAATAAATTCAACAAAGATGTGTCTTCCATACAAAAAGAAGTTCAATTACGTTCGAAATATGTGATTAAAAATATTGAAAAACAAACTAAAATGTTTTATTCAAAATACATTTAAAAAGTAAAATTCAAAATAAAATCGAGGATGACGTAAGACTAGGGGTGAACACGGGTTGGGTTGGGCGGTTTTTGACGTTTTTACAACCCAACCCAATTACGGCGGTTTGAAAAATCTCAACCCAACCCAACCCATTCAAAAGTATAACCCAACCCAACCCAACCCTTGCGGGTTAGGGCGGGTTGGGTTGTGTTGGCGGGTTACTAAAACTTATAAAATTGTCAAATGAAATATGATAAATAATACTAAAAGTATACCAACAAAGTCATTAGTTATTACAATCATCTAAAAATATATATAAAGACTAAATCCTCAAGTCTTGAAATCAATTTTCAAAAATCAAAAGTTTGATACGAGYAATAGACTTTCCATTTCCATATGTTAAATGCTCAATAAAGTACAACCGTCTTTGACCTTCCCGACTCCGATGTTGCATTCTCCTTGAGCTTGTCTACATTTCAAAAACAATATTAAACAATTTATTAAGAACATGTAACTATATAAGCATGAAAAAAGAACCATCGTTAAGTTTACCTTCTTCAAGAAAGTCATAAGATGAAATTTCATCTAAAAACTCACTTATTTGAATCCCCTTATTGTTCTCTTTCAACCAACTTTGTGTGCATACAAGGGCCTCCACCATTTTTGGACTCAAAGAGCTTCTAAATGAGTCTAAAATACGACCGCTAGTACTGAAGGCGGATTCAGATGCTACAGTAGATATAGGTATAGCAAGAACATCTCTAGCTATCATAGACAAAATGCTATACCTATTAGTATTATCTTTCCACCAAAGTAATACGTCAAATGATGTTTTTTGATTCATAGATCCATCAACCATATATCTATCAACGTCGTTCATGTTTTCCGGCACGTCCATTTGTTGTTGTTGCAAAAATGATTCCAATAATCTTTTTCTTTGAGATTCTTTGGAATCATTCTTTGGTGGTGATTCTAGTTTGGTAGCCTATACAAAAAAAAAATGAATATAAACTCAACAAACGATAACATATTAACATGCATAATTAAATTTTAAAAAATGAGTAACTAACCTCATCACCATCTTTACCACCTTGTGAATATTGATTATATAACTGATGAAGAATTTGTTCCACCTTAACAACAAGCTTAGCAACAGTTTGAGCATCATATAAGGACTCAAAACAAAACTTCAAATACTTCAACTTATACCTCGGATCAAGTACAATTGCCAAAAACAACATGGGATTGATGCGATCTGGATCACCCCACCCAAGCAAACAAGCTTCAATAACCTTACCAATTGTCTCACCCTTATGATTTGAAATCTGACAAAAGTTTATAATTCTTTTCCGTAAATGCCAATTACTATCAATGTAATGTGCAGTGAGACACATATAAGACATTTGTGTGGAAGATGTCCAACAATCAGTTGTTAAACATATTCTTTGACCGACCTTTGTCAACTCTTTCTTCAATTCAATCCTCTCATTGTAAAACAACTTATAAACATCTCTAGCAACAGTCATTCTACTAGGAACACCAAATTTTGGTTGCAACTCATGAACAAGTTCCCTAAATCCTTCACCCTCTACAACACTAAAGGGTTGTTCATCCTTAAGCACAAACCTAGCCACGGCTTTGCGACATCTATCTTTATTAAATGACACCTCATTTTCATTGATAGTATGAAAGTTAAGCGGCGGGTTGGCGGTTTGGGTTGGGTTACGTTATGCCAACCCAATTTCAACCCTTCTAATTAGCGGTTTGGCGGTTTAGCGGTTTGGCGGGTTCGGTTTAATCCGGTTGTTAGCGGTTTGGGTTGGGCGGGTTTCGCGGGTTGACGGTTTTTTGTTCACCCCTACGTAAGACAAAAGACAAAAAACCGAAAAACTAATGGACAATCAATAATCTCAAAATATTCACAATCAATATATAACTAAAAGCATATTGCAATCAATACAGTAATACGTATAAAAGATAGAGGGAACTTATAGTTTATAAGATAAACAAAACGAATAAAGTAAGTGTATCGTATTCATTGTATAACAAAATGGAATATCAAATCAAAATTGTAACTAAAATTAACTATTTAATCCAAAATGAATTAAAGTAATCATAAATAAAAACCATGTAAAGAAATTTCTTTATATAATTATCCCCAATGTTCCAACATATCATTTTTTTAATCAATGTAAGATAGACAAAGTTAACTACAATTCAATATTCTGGAATTTTCAATTTACATTGTGTCATATTATTTCTTTTGGTTCTTACTTATAGATTATAGATATATAAATTATATATTTAAAGATTTAAAGGTTTATTAAATTATTATATGTAACTTATATATAAAAAGTAAATGAAAGGTTCACTCATTTAATGATATGTTTTATTTTAAATAATTCAAAATTTTGAAAAAATAACAACTAATGATTCTAACTCTCTCAAGATGTCACATCATCTTTTGATGATTCTCTTTTATATATACTAGAATGGTACTCGAGCAATGTAGCGAGATACATCTTGATTTTTATATATATTTTTTTATCTTAGTCGATGTTATGATATGGTTTTATGTGATTTTGAAAATGCGATAATGTTTTATTTTTGAATAAAATATAAATTTGAAGATATCATAAAAATTTGACAAAAATATATCGATATTAGTATCAAATTAATTATTTAAAATTTCTTATTTTTTGTGTAATTTTTTAATTATAATTTAATTTAGGCTCAATAACGAAGTAATTTATATTTGGTTTAATAATATAAATTTTTATAAAGATAATAATTAATTATTTTTTTAAAACTTGATAATTATTCTAATTATATTTTAAAATAAGATGTTTATCCTTTATTTGACTATGTTTGTCCGCAGTTAGTTACACGAATTCAAACATGGAACTTTAATAAGTTGTACTTACGCACAATTTACTTGTAATCTTGAATTTTAAGTAATATGTATYAATAAACAGTACTTTATGCATAAAAAATGGTTTTTAATATTTTTTTCTCAAATGCTTTATAACTTAATTTTTTTTCTTTCTAAAACACAAAATAATATATAAGAATAGAGAACCTGTTTTTATGAGAACTCTAGCATGTGAGTTTTCTCCAAAGACAAACATAAACAAGAACAAAATGATTATATAAGTTTAGAAAATTCTATCAAGATTGAAAAAGTCAAAAAATATGACACTGAAAACAAAGGAAAATCAAAGGGTGAGTATTTCAACAGTTATGTTATAATATTTTCTAAAATAAAGTACTAAAAGCTAAAATCACTAAGGCATGATTTGGCAAAAATAAGTTAACTTATTTTCTGAATACATGTTTGCATGCACATAAGCTAGCTTATTGAAACGCTACTTGGAGTAGTGTTTTGGTAGTTTATTGTCATTTTTTCCATCCATAACTCTCATTAATATTAATTATTATTATTAATTATAAATAAATATTAATAAAATTTAGATATTACTAATATTAATAAATATTAATTATTAAGTAATATAAATTAAAAATTAATTTTAATTATACATTATAC